AATGTATTTTAACGTAACATTTCATTAGTCTACAGTACAGTTATTGAGACAAAAATTGACTGAAAAGGATCCAGGACAATTAATTATTACTTACCGCCATCATTTTATTACTATTAGCTTGTAATTGTAATGTAGGCTTCAATTTATTTTGCTAGGTGTTGTCAACAGCGGCGTTGTTTGTGCAGTTCGAATGACTTGAATGAGGTAAACTAGCCCGACTGTTGTTATCGGTTCACGTTTAATTTAAGTACTGACAACTGACCTAGTAAAAGTTACAAATACAGTTCATCACGTAATATGTGATAAACAAATGTATTAGTTTGGGCCTAAGCATAAAAAATATAACTTATATATAACACTACACTCCTAAACTGCCTTTGTTTGAAATTCTCAAGATAGTAATTACTGAACTGCGATCCTTCCACTGCTACTTGTACTACTGAGTTTGAGATGTTCCTCGAAATGTTGTTATTCTTTATATAGGTCAGCTTCGGCAAACTACGTGTACCCCTCGGTAAGCAATACATTCAAACGAGCAATCAAGTTCTAAGAAAATCTATTTTTAGCTTTGACAAGTACTGGGGCAAACGGTTAATAGTGTCAATTCATTGTGATCTAATTGTAAAAAAAAAAATAAAGTGTAACAGTTAAATGACCGAAACTGGATCTAGGATATTCAGATCTTGACGCCTACGCTTTTAAAATATTATTTTTTAATCCTGGCATGTTTGTGTTTCAATGACTCATTCATAAAAAAATATTATGACTAAATACTAAACTATGTCAGTCTGTCAGTGTCAAAGTCAAGTAAATAAAATATTATAATTCATAATAATAGACAGATGTGATCATTCGGCTCATTTGCAGAGTTGAGAAATGAAGAAACCATAAACAAAGAAAAATAAATGGAATAACAATATTTTGAATATTTCTGTTGTTATTATTAAGGTATCTTCCATAAATGACGTCACGCTATAGTGTTTCAGACGATTTTTACCCCCCCCCCACCCCCTATTTTCTCCTTTTTTTCCTTCTCTTTTTCACCAAAGTCATACATTGGTATAATCCGCCCCGGGTGACACTATTTTTTTTATTTTTTTTTTAATGAACGGGCGGAATTTTCTGCCAACTGCCGACTTTTTTTCCGTAGAAGGAGATCGACGAAAATCTTGGCCCGTCCCGTCGGCACTAGATCAGTCTAGACCAGGGGTCGGGAACCTTTTTGTCTGAGAGAGCAATGGACACCACATATTTTGAAAAGTAATTCTGTGAGAGCCATAAATTATGTTTAAAACTAAAAATTCAAGTAAATATGTGCATTTTGTATAATTTCAACACTAAAAATGCAATAATTATGTCTCTGAATTCTTTTAATAACATTATTATTCTGTTGCTAATCAATAATGAGTATTTCTTACCATTAATGTGACTTTTTTTTTATAATCGAACATTTTTCTGCGAGCCAGATGCAGCCATCAATAGAGACATATCTGGCTCGCGAGCCATATGTTCCCGACCCCTGGTCTAGACTCTAGATCTAACTATATCTAGGTCACTGAATGCATATTGCAAGGGACAGTTTATAAATGTAGGCTAAATTATTAAATAAAATAGAACAAGTAAACTTACAGGCGGTGTTCATTGAAAAAAAAATAGTGTACCAAAGTTAGAAATTTTCCGCCTTCAGAGTGACAATATAATACTGTGCTGTCATTATTCCAGAGTATCATAAAAAAGAGATTCCCAAATTATGCCTTGCAAAGTGGAAAATAATTCATGAAAAAGTTGCTAATTCCTGAAATTTTCCGCCTTCAGAGTGACAATATAATACTGTGCTGTCATTATTCCAGAGTATCATAAAAAAGAGATTCCCAAATTATGCCTTGCAAAGTGGAAAATAATTCATGAAAAAGTTGCTAATTCCCGGTGCACTTAGAATTTCATTCTTGGAACCTTTGGAAAAACCTGGTTGCAGCAAGGACGTCGTGATTGGAAAAAAGTTTGGAACCTCTGTCATAAAATAACCCAATAAATAATGTGGGTTGAACATGAATGATAATAAAAGAAAAGTGTGGTGTGGTCGTGGTCCGAAGTCAACAAAATTCAAGGTTCAATGAATTGGATCTCGAAAGTCTGTGTTTGTACTAAATAATAGGCCTATAGGCCGAATAATAATAAATCAATTAGGATCCTTGTTACGTACCGCTATGGGTTTGGAGATTTATCTTTGTTTAAGATTAGGCCATTAGGCCCGTAGAATGAACAAAACGTAACAAAGGACTGAGAAAAATACGCAAAGAAAACGATACCAAAGCTAGTGATACTAACGATATTCAATTTAAATATTCAAATACAGAAACATAAAAAAAAACTATATCAACTTACAGCACAGCACATCAAGGAAAATTTACACTCATGAAATATGCAATTATTAATTTATCCCATACAATTGTATAACGTCTCGTATATGTTAAGATGTAGCAAGTATCTCTCACAGTCTCACGCGCCTGTCTCCCGGCTAAGCTCTTATTTAATTAAATGGCTCGTTCTAAAACAGTACACATCAAAAGACGATACCATATGTTAAATACTAAAACAAAGAAAACGATACTCAAGGGCCAAACCAGAGCTAATTATAATTAATAAATTTGATTATGTTAATTATAAATTACAAAATCAAAAATAAAACTAAAGCTATTGACCTACAGTATAATGATTGGCTTGTACCGGTACAATGTTGAAGAAGATACAATGTTTTAAAAAGGTACAATGATGAAAAGGAATCTACACACACACAGTAAACAAAACTCTATCCTAATAGCAATGGCTCCAAATATCTCTTGTTTCCTTCCTCTCGCTCAATCTCTCTAGGCGTATATATAGCCGGTTTCATAGATATCACTCGAAAGGGCTTACACCTTGTATTCCTTTCTCGATATATTTTTTTACACAATTCTACAGAATTCTAAAAATAATACAGACCATAGATTTTTATTAGTTGTAACCAAGGTCAAGAGAGACTATATTTAGAAGACAATTTAGTTAGCCACATCCTAAATGCGGTACCGAACTTTGGGTCAGCTAGAGTTCATTCACGGGGAAAGATGACATAAACACGTCGTCCACATAACACTATACATAGGGATTAAATCATAACCTTCCAGTAAAGAAATTCTAGAAATTACGTCACCTGGTGGCGTAACGCATTCCAACGTAAACAACCTTTTCCCAACCTAGGAAGGGATGGGTAAGGGATGACACATCACGTTTACCAGGTGACGTCAATATCAAGGACACACTAAGGGAGGCAAGTGGTATTGGCTAAAAATAACCATGTCTTGAATTTCAAAAAAATATACCAAGACATTGTCTATAATATAACAACCCTTACTGGGAGGAAGATGGAGATATAGGGCAGGGGCCCACGGCCCGGATGGCTGTATCACGAATAAACATTTCTCCATTCACTTAGAGACAGTGGCGTTGGAAGGGGGTGCGGAAGGGGGGGGGGTGGTCGGACCCGGGCGGCACTTTTTCAATAGATGGAAGGAAGGCATTTTCGGCTAACTGTAGATTAGATTTTTCCACGAAAATTTCTCCATTCACTTAGAGACAGTGGCGTTGGAAGGGGGTGCGGAAGGGGGGGGGTGGTCGGACCCGGGCGGCACTTTTTCCATAGATGGAAGGAAGGCATTTTCGGCTAACTGTAGATTAGATTTTTCCACGAAAAGGAGGGGGGGGGGCAAAAAGCTTGACCCGCCCCGGGCAGCACAAATCCAAGCTACGCCACTGAGTAAAGAGTATTTTCATTCGTGACATAATCGCACATTTAATATATATTATTATTTTTAAATTTATTTTATATAAAAAGGATGGACTTCGATAATGATAAAGCTTATTTAAAAAACCATTATTCAATAAATTTCTTTAAAAAAAAAAATTGATTAAAATAAAACGAAAATCTTTTTTGAATCAATTTGTTGAATTGCTTATGACCATAAGACATGAATTAAAATGTATAATTTTATTTAATAATTGGGTAATAATGTCGTCATCGATTGTGATGCATTCGCTGATTATGTCAAAAAGGAAACGGTTGAATCCTCGAGATGGCAGCACGATTTTTGTTTTCCAGAATGCCATTTTGGCTTGTATTTTAGATTTACAATTAACAACATATTTCAGCCTCAAAATTTTTTTAGCTAAGAATTCTAAAATAATTTAATTTAAAAAAATAATAATTATCATATCAATATTGTAGCAAGTTTTTGTATTTTGGGAAGTGAAACGATTTTACCGTTTTAGACTTAAATCGATCAAAATTACCTGGCTACCTTACATTCTACCCAACGACTCCAACAATAAAGATTGAATAACGATTAAAGATTCTTGAAGTTTGTCTTTAATTTTCTAATTATTCATCAGGAAGGTAAAGAATTGCAAAAATTTCTATACATATTTAATGTTTTTTATTGGTACCATCCTGGGTTTGGATAAAAAGGATTCATTATTAACGTTTCAAAAGCTGACCTATTTGGTTTATTTTCTGTTACTAGTTAACTTAAGTTAACTGTTGTCAGTTGACTGAGTTATAGAATTAGAGGCTACCACTACCAAGAGTGCCAAGACCTAAAGCCTACACTTTTTACAACAGCCGACACTATACTACACTTGAACGGTTACTGTTGTTACAAAGTCCGTCCAATTTAATTATTTTATTGGTAAACCTACTCAATCCAAGCCAATTATTTACCCGTTGCCATCTTGGTTGCAGTTGTCGTAGTGCAAACACACCTTGCTAAAATGGGGAGGGGAAAGAGAAAATGAGGTAAATTGGAAGATAGGATGCCATGATTTTCTACATGGCCGCCATCTTGGTTGACAAGACTAGTTAATTCTGTCACTAAATCTAAGTAAATGTATCCCTTAACCTAACATGAACCCTAAAATGTATCTCTAAACCTAACGTGAACCCTAAATGATATGTATCCCTAAACCTAACCTGAACCCTAATTCACAGCAACTTTAATAAACAAGCAAAATAAAAGACGTTGTGGCATCCTATCAGTATCTTCCTTTAGCTGAAAATGGTTTTGATGTGCTGTTTTAACTAACTACTTAAATTACAGAAGGACACGAAGGTAATCTATAACTCGCTTGTGAAAATATCATGTTCCAGTTTGAAACGGTTATTGTTTTATTGATAAGACAAAATTCTGTTAATGCAGGCAATTGGTGCCATGTTTTTTCCCAAGGCAGCCATCTTTTTGCCTGAGCCAGTGAAAGAAGATCACGAGTCAAGGCAAAAAAGATTGCAGCAGGGGGTGGGAATTAGTGCAAACCCATGTGTGATAATAAAGGGAGAGGATGGGAGAGAATGCGTTATTTCATCTAATTAACGGAACACTGAAAAATAAGCAATTTTAGCAGAATATTTAATTATATGGAAAAAACCCAATAAAATTAATATAACTTTTTGAAAATTATTTAAATAAAAATGTAAAATGTACGAAAATTTGAATTTTTTTTAAAAGAAGCGAAAAAATGCAAGAAATGAGTAAAAAAAAAAAAGTATAATAACAGCACACTAAAAAAGCAAGAAATGAAAAGAAATGAAATCGGCAGATACATGTAACATAATTTTTCATGATAATTGGCCACCATCCCTAACCTGAACCCTAAACCTAACTTGAACCCTAAACCTATCACTAAACCTAACCGGGGTATTGACCCTAAACCTAACTTGAGTATTGACCCTAAACCTAACTGGAGTATTGACCCTAAACCTACCCAGGGTATTGACCCTAAACCTACCCAGGGTATTGACCCTAACCGGGGTATTGACCCTAAACCTAACTGGGGTATTGACCCTAAACCTACCTAACCCTGAACTCCCTAAATGGATCCCTAAACCTAACCTGAACCCTATTTCTATCCCTAAACCTAACCTGAACCCTAAATCTTATCATAAAATTAACACAAAAAACGTAACTGCAAAGAATGCAATTTTCAAATTATAATCAGTTTTTTTACTCACTCTTTATGTATATCAGAATCTCTTAAATCAGGAGGATATACGATTTTTATCACATTTAACAATTCTCTCATTAGATCTGTACTGCCACACGAGCGTCCTCACATATATTCATATAAATATGAGTCGAACTGCTCATCCCCAGGACAGGTTCTCGTTGGCAGAGATCTTTTTATTGCACTCCAAGTGCCCTCTATGGTGTTGGTATGCGTGCCCGTTTCAGAGTGTTTGAACTCAATTGTATGGTTCACCGTCAGGCGGTGAAACCCTTCATAAACAGTCTTAAGACCTCCAACAATCAGAAATGATTGTGGTCCCTGGCTGCACAAATTCCTTTAATTACTGCCAGGAGGACATCTTTGCCGTGGTTCTCAATAACCCTAAAAAAGGATTTGTTGGATCCTCTTTCAATTCCACAAAACACCCAATCTCCACAATTTTACCCACTCCGCCTAAGCTCTCACTCATCAAAACACACACTTCCACGCAGACCTCATGACAGAAGCTGAACTAGTCAGTTACTGTATCCCGACTAACACCTACTTCAGTCGCAATATTTCCCAAAGGTATTTTTTCAAACCAAAAATGTGTCAATAAAAGTATGTCACTTATCGTCTAATTGCTGTCACCAAAACATGATCCCTTCCTTAAACTACCCATATTACCATGGCTTGTGTTGCAACATCTTCGCAAACCCATCTGAAACATTTGCCCATGCACACAATTTCATACCTTCTTGCAATTAGGACATTCATACCGGTCTACAATAAGACCATTTCTCATGACCCAATCGATCACACTCCTTTTGCCCTCACATTCCAGACGAATCCAAAAACGGTAGGAAAAATCAGCATAAATTTACCCAAAATTTATATTAAAAAAAACAATTGTCATTGCTAAAAAATAACAAATTTTGAACTTACCGTGATGTGCAGGCACCCGGAGAAGTAATCAAGAATAGAGAATGGCGTAAAATTTAAGCACTCCTTTCTATATCCGCATCACTTTGAAGTACCTGATTAAAAAATTAATTTCTATAATTCTCATTAATATTTCGAACATTCTAAAATTTCCACACGCTCAGAATGACACTTAATAACAAAATGGCAAGTAATTATTAACATAAAATGAAACTTTTATTTTAATATCCATTAATTATTCACATGAACTTTTGTAGCAGAACTTCAATGTTGAAATATTCCTTCGCCGCCACTTCTTTCAATGATTAAAACATCAATTTTTCAACAAAGAACTCAAAATATTATGTTTATTTTTAAAAAATAATGTTAATTTTTCGATTTCTATGAAAATAAAATCAGAAAACGAACAAAAAAACCCCCAATATTTCTCGAAACATTTCTTCGGCTTATGAATACTAATACATCAAAAGATAATTCTTTAAAAATAAACAAAGGGAAGTGACTTCTACACTGCAACTTATGAAATCACGCAAATGACGTCATGACACCAATTCTCTGCATTGACCAAACATTCTTTTAAGGTTTTTTTTAATGACATTGTCCTACATATTCATTTCAGCACATGTATAAATGACTACATTTTTAAAATAAAAAAAAATTAAAACAATTTAGTAATTTATCTAATAGACAAATTTTAACAATATGACTTATAAAAAGAATCAGAGTTTGATTTTATATTATCTCCATGAAAACTATTGCGTGACATGAACTCATTCAAATATGATGGAAAAAGGTTGTGGCTTGTGGCTNTTAAAAACTCGGATTTTTTGGCGCCGATTGCGAATTCCCATACACAAAAAGTAGTAGTCCACCTTGACTTACCGAAGTATCTACCAATAGTACCAAAATCCGGAATCCGGGAGAAACCGGTATCCGGATCCGGCGGATTTCGCATAAGAAAATCCGGATCCGGATCCGGTTGGAAAAAACGGATCCGGCACACCCCTAACATTGTCCTACATATTCATTTCAGCACATGTATAAATGACTACATTTTTAAAATAAAAAAAAATTAAAACAATTTATTAATTTATCAAATAGACAAATTTTAACAATATGACTTATAAAAAGAATCAGAGTTTGATTTTATATTATCTCCATGAAAACTATTGCGTGACATGAACTCATTCAAATATGATGGAAAAAGGTTGTGGCTTGTGGCTTTTTTAGTTTGCGCTTTGCATGCAACCACATATTTTCAACAGTCTGTGTGTGGACACCAGGATCATTTAGACAGTCAATATTTTGTTCATGAACAACGGATTGTTCGTAGATCTGGTTTATGTTTGCGTAAGCCACCCATCCGTCTGATACAATAAGTGAGCCTTGGAAAATGTATATCCGTTTCCAGAAATAACACAATTTGTTCTGAAAAATGTAAAAATTAAGAAAAACAAAACAAAATAATTTTAAAATAATGAAAACCCAGCTTAGTTTCATATAATACACTTTTATACTTTTAAACACTTTATTGCTGGTTTCACTAAATGGAAAATCCAAAAATTTTCAGAAAATCAATACAATAATACTCAGTCCATTTTCCAAAATGACGGAAAATTTAAATATTATAGTAATAATATTATAATTAAATACTCGGTGACATAATTTTAAAATTTCCATCGGCGTATTAAAGAAAAGTTAACTTTGGTAACAATCCAAGATTCAACAAAAGGGAAAGATCCTACACGGCAACTCAAAGTGGCCTGGATTGCGTACATTGACTTAATTATTTAATCAGGGGTCTATATATGGGGTCTATATTTAAGTTTATTTCAAGCTTTTTTGAATTCAATAGTTGCTGCTGCTATTTTATGGGCCTATAACTTATATGTTTTAATTAAGTGTCATAAGACATTATTTATTTACTGCGTATTGATCCAAACACAGTTTAAAAAGGTTAAACACTAACAAACATTTCTAGTACTAGTCACTACAGTAAGCAGTAATGAGTGAAAAGCTAATTAAAAAAGGCTTTCATTCTATCATTATCAATGTGTTTTGGCTTTTCACTGAAGTTGCAGTGTATGTAATTATTTATTGTAATAGCAACTAGTAACAATTAACTTTTAGATCAACAAAAGGTTTAAAAGCCTACTTTGTTGAATCATTGTTCATAGATAGGGCCTACTGCTATTAAAAGTTCAATGAGAAGAATGTCAACTCAATCAATAAATATCAATTGACATTTTTTTCAAAATCTTCCAGTTATCTATACAAGCTTTATTCAAGGTTAGCATTAAATTAAATTCCTCATTAGTACCACTCTAAACTTACCCTTTGCAGACTAATAATTTCTCCTATCATATTTTTCATTTCAGATGCCTATGATTAAGCTGCAGAGTTCTGATGGTGAAGTGTTTGAAGTTGATGTGGAGATAGCAAAACAGTCAGTTACAATCAAAACCATGCTGGAAGGTACAATTGTTGCTATACATTTTGAAAACCTGTTAACCTCTTTCTTGTTACCATTTCTTTGTTTCAACTTTCCACATAACAGATGGGAAAACTGGACTAAAAGGAACAGAGAACACTTCTGTTTCTTTTTAATTAAACCGAAACATACTCTCCCCAAACGTGATGAATGGCAAGGCATGAAGTAAATACTAAGAGTACCATAGAAACCAAATTTACCGGCTTAGCAATAAAATATATTTATTGTATATGTAAGGGCATATAAGCCCTACATATTTAAGGAATATCACTGCATAAGCCTTTTAAAAATAAATATACTCCCACAAACATTAAATGAATATGTATAATTCAGATTTGGGTATGGATGAGGATGAAGATGAGCCAGTCCCCCTGCCCAATGTGAATGCTGCCATTTTAAAGAAAGTAATTCAGTGGTGTACTTTTCACCGTGATGATCCTCCACCACCTGAAGATGATGAAAACAAAGAGAAGAGGACTGATGACATATGCTCTTGGGATGCAGAGTTTCTTAAAGTAGACCAAGGCACGCTGTTTGAATTAATTTTGGTAAGTGTATTTGCAGTAGTACAGTAAAAATCAAAATTGGTTGTAAATTATACCTCATAGAATCATGTGTCATGAACTTATTTTTTTAGTCCCCTTATATTGAGCTGATAGGGAATTGATTATCAAAAGTAATCATTCTTATTGTTATTACAATAATAAGCAATAATAATTTTACGGTGTACAGGTATTCTGCTTGACTCTTTGGTCAGGTTAACTTTTCGTTCTCCTATTCTCAGCTAAGATAAGGCCTATGTTCTAGAAAATAAAGTATCTTCTCATCTCAAGAAATCAACATCCATAAATGAATCCCTCTTATCATCACAAAATTTAGACACCCTTGTCAAACAAATTTGTAACCCTCCTAGATCATGAGTGATATCTTTTATGGATGTTCCCTTCTTATAAGATGTGATGATAATTATGCATTTTTCTTAGTTTATTTTTGACTGGATAAATTTCACAGCATTAATCCACTTGAATTATATTCTATTTAGCCATACTTTCACTACACCAAGCGTTTATTACCCCCACGGTTACTTTAAACGACCAAATTTATCCCCTTAATGTCAGCTTGAACTGCCACAATGAGCTAACTCATTAGCTGTCAGAGAAAATAAATTGCATCCATTCAAATATTTTCTTATTTATACTTAATCGATATGTTTCATATAAAAATGTGTAACTGAAATATTTTTACAGAAAACCAACCAAGCTAATAATGTAACCTAACTTCAGACTCAACTCGATAGTTTATTAACTTACTTGTTTTATTTACATGGATAGGAGACTTTCGCCATGGTCTCACTTGGGATTTGGATAGAAGTAGAAGGGGCACACAATCAAATGACATTAGTATATTGATCAAGATAGAGAATGTTAAGCAACAGGATATTTGATAATAATCCTTCAACTCATAAAGTATGGGAAATATGTAATGCAAGGAACAACATATTTCCATTTACCTACCCTGATCGCAGTCTACCCCTTCAAATTCCTTTTCATTAAGTATACACGTTGCTACCATTTCTTATTTACACATGGGTCAAATTAAGTTGACAAAACTATTCCCAATTGGAATTCATTTATTTTTAGGCGGCTAACTACTTAGATATCAAAGGTTTGTTAGATGTGACCTGCAAGACAGTAGCAAACATGATCAAAGGGAAATCCCCAGAAGAGATCAGAAAAACTTTTAACATTAAGAATGATTTCACACCAGCAGAGGAAGAGCAAGTGAGTATTCAATTTTATAATTTAGTTGAAATGTCGTTTCTTTTATTTTTTTAAGGCTGTGAATGAATGATAGAGACTTCCTTGGTGTTTGAGGAGAAGATACCTATTTGTGCGGAAGCTTAGGATTTCATTTCTCAAAATAAATGAACCACTACCGTTTTTAAGTGCGCCTTTTTAAACTTTAAGTGAACTTTTTTGAGAATTTTATTTATTTGCAGTGGAAAGAAATCATAAGCAAACCATGTCAGTTCTAGACTGATAGGAACAAATTAATTAATTAATTCTGGACAGCTGACTTCCCTAAGTAATCAATATTACTTAGCATAAAGAAATAACTCAGATTTTCAATTAGCATATTGTTTTTATTTAATTTAAGCTTCTACAATTTTATTAATTATAACTTTCTTAGACCTGGTTACTCTTATGGTTTTTGGCTCACAATGTAAGATTTTGAGATGTCTTTTACGATTATTCACAGAGACCTATCAGAATTACAAGTTTAAAAGACCGGGTTGAAAAAATATATTTGAATAGTTTTTGTGATATAAAAATACATTGTCAAATGTTAATCTTAGCTCCCTAATACATTTGCCAGTTAATGGACCAAGAATTATCTTTTGTTGGGGACCATCCATAATTATACTTGGTATGCACTAAGAGGGGAAGGTGGGTTGGGGGTTGACCTAGGAGCGTAGGGTGTTCATGGAAAGGGAGTGTCAATTTTGTGACACAATGTTTTCTTATGGCTGACTGTTCACCTAAATATTAATTGATACCCGGTATCTATAGCTGATACACATATGCAAAAAAGTGACTGCAGTTTGCAGTTAATGTCAGCCATCTACTTTTAACTGTTCAGTTCCCTTTTCTGATGCCAGCCTAACTCCATTCCACTGGACACGCGATGCGAGTAGTCATTATATGAATTATATATACTGTATGTTTATTTTATTATTTACTATTAAGATACTGTATTGCACCATTTTTAGACGATATTGTAAGATTTTAGGAGAACGAGGGTAAACAGGTCTGATATATTAATACATATTTTGAATACCATGCAAAATTTGTCTTTGATTATAACTATTTTGTCAACCCTGTAAATATAGTCATATTAATGACCTACTTCTATCCTTGTTTCAGGTGAGAAAGGAAAATGAATGGTGTGAAGAGAAATAGGACTTCATCTTCTCCGCCCAGAGATTTTTTATTGTTTTTTTTTCATAAGTATATATAATGTGATACCATTAATTCAATATAATATTTGTTAGTACCTGTATAAAATCCTAATGTGTGAAAGCATGTGTGTTGTGTATTGAGCAAAGCTTGAGTTTTGTGTATTCAAAACAATTGACATTTCATTCAATAATATTATTAGGGATACTTTTTAATATATTTCCAGAACAACTGTTAATAATTAAATTTTTTAAAAGCAAATTAGTTCATGTCATTTTAGCTAGCACATAGTTACTGAAATAATTTTTTTAAAGACCTTAGCTACAAATTTTCAAAGATGTTGAACAAATAAGGTTACCTATCTCATCAACGTTCACATGCAATAGAAATTGACAATATACCCCAGGGTTTTATTTCCAGAGTCATTGTTTGAATAATTCTTGAATCAACCAATTTATTTATAATTCCAATTTAACCTCATTTGTTGTCAGGGAACTATTTATTTTTAAGGTTCATTGTTGGAATCTCAGTGTCATAGGACTTGTGTCATAGAAATCAAGGGCATTATGCCAGTTTTACTGATTTGTTTGTACAAAAATAGAAATTTACTTTGATTACAAAATTAATTAACTTTTCTCCAAATTCTTTTAACCATCACATGTATAAAAATTCTGCCCTCAATCAGCACACTCACTTTTGTTAGGCTTTAATCCAGCCGTTTTACTGATTTTAGTGTTTTGTACTTGTTTATGAATAAAGGTACACAAACCCCTGGCAAATCATGGCTTATGTTCTCCTTACATGTTAAAATTATTGATGAAATGATGTAGGGCCACTTTGTAGAAATTTTATTTAACAGGTTTCAAAAGTTTGGTTGTGTCCATGTTGATCTTTTATGTCTCAGTGCAACATGCACTTTAACTATGAGTACACACACTTTTCTCCTCTGTTTAAAATAAATTAATTCATCCAAATCCTTTAAAAAATAAATTTGATATTTTAGATGTTTTGTTTGTTTCTGATGCAACCCTTTATGTTGAAAACTCCCGTTTGTATGTCTTCTAACAGGCAGTTTCATGGCTCAATTGTATTCTAGGGGTAACAACTCTCGTCACAATTAAAAGCAGCAACAACACTAGGTTAAATACTTCATAGAGTTCGTTATTCACAACTGCTCTCCGTACCTCCTTCCTTCAGCTTTCACTTTGCATAATAGCTTCTACTCCATAACAACTAATACCATCATCCCTCATATCCTTCTATCACCGATCCACAACACCTAGCAACAACTAGGCAATAAATCTCTACATTAAATATGCTCACCAACAGATCAAGTATTACAATATCATACACTCATGAAAAAAATCATAAACGTTCTAGAAACAGAGGGTGTAAAATTACCTACTAGTGATTGCAGACATCTTATAAGTTCTTCCAAGATTTTCATTTAAAAGTTTAAAATCGACCAGGTGTGATATGCTATTTGGGCCCTAGAGCTGAGCAGAAAGCAATAAAAGCACCTTTAAAAATACACTCTTTGTTGTTAATTTAACTTGATTAGATCCATGCCAGTTCCCCATGAAAGCATCACTTGTCAGAAAACTGGTTTCATCTTAAATGCCAAATTAACGAATGTATGTGTGTTTTGCTTTGTGTCTTATTCCATCATGCAAGTGAATAAAATTACTTTCGTACATAATTTATGCTTTTGTAACTTGATCAAAAATTATTATATTAGTAGTGTGTAAGTGTAAGGAAAGTCAATACACTTGTAATATTAGTATGGAAACAAGGCATTATAATTTACAGTGTATTATCCAACAATTATAGAAAATGTGAAATAACTTGCATGGCTATGCAAACACAGTTAATTTTAAATAAATAATTTATTTTAAAAAAATTCTGCTGCTGCCATTGCATTTTAAAATGACAAAAATTAGCTTAACAACAAAAATTAGCATAGTATAAAAGAGATTAATGGACATTTCAACTATTTTGATAAGTATCTCACAGATTTTCTTGATTTTTAAAAAAATTACAGGGCTAAAAGTAAAACCTCACTTATGATAAGTATTAACACAACCAAGTGTCCTGATAGTCCGGCTCTAAGCAATACTTCAAGCATTAAAATGTATACAATACATACCGTATATTATTAGTATTAATTATAAATGCTTAAAGCTGCCATCCATTAATTTAAATGATATGAATAATATGGTTTGATTATGCAACACATACAATAGCTTACAGATCAACATACACATGAATGAGCTGATGTATAAGAATCTAAAAAAAAAAAATACAAAAAACATTCTCTGGATTGATATACAGTTACAGGCTGTATGCAATTTTGATCATTAGAGTTTAACACTTGATGCTGAAATTTTGGTGATCCTCTAAATAAAGCTTTAGAGGTTTGGGGCCAGTCTTCAAGAGAGCTTTCTGGAAAGAGGCATGTATAATTTTTGTGTGTTTTGCTTTGTGTCTTATTCCATCATGCAAGTGAATAAAATTACTTTCGTACATAATTTATGCTTTTGTAACTTGATCAAAAATTATTATATTAGTAGTGTGTAAGTGTAAGGAAAGTCAATGATTGCAAAATCATCACCATTTATTTTTTAAAAAATCCTTCCACAAAAATTACAATAATCACATGCATATTCATGGAAGGGCTGCACTGGTGTGCCAATGGACATGATACAAATTTAAAATAATAATTTGTTTCATTTTCATGTTTGTAAATGACATAATGGCATTTATTTGGTTAAAAACAATTTTTAAAAAAAATCCCATGTGTTGAATTTAAATACAAAATACAACATTATTTATTGTGTAATAAATGTGGAGAATATTGTCTACCTTGGGGGAGATTAACACTTGTAATATTAGTATGGAAACAAGGCATTATAATTTACAGTGTATTATCCAACAATTATAGAAAATGTGAAATAACTTGCATGGCTATGCAAACACAGTTAATTTTAAATAAATAATTTATTTAAAAAAAATTCTGCTGCTGCCATTGCATTTTAAAATGACAAAAATTAGCTTAACAACAAAAATTAGCATAGTATAAAAGAGATTAATGGACATTTCAACTGTTTTGATAAGTATCTCACAGATTTTCTTGATTTTTAAAAAAATTACAGGGCTAAAAGTAAAACCTCACTTATGATAAGTATTAACACAACCAAGTGTCCCGATAGTCCGGCTCTAAGCAATACTTCAAGCATTAAAATGTATACAATACATACCGTATATTATTAGTATTAATTATAAATGCTTAAAGCTGCCATCCATTAATTTAAATGATATGAATAATATGATTTGATTATGCAACACATACAATAGCTTACAGATCAACATACACATGAATGAGCTGATGTATAAGAATCTAAAAAAAAAATACAAAAAACATTCTCTGGATTGATATACAGTTACAGCCTGTATGCAATTTTGATCATTAGAGTTTAACACTTGATGCTGAAATTTTGGTGATCCTCTAAATAAAGCTTTAGAGGTTTGGGGCCAGTCTTCAAGAGAGCTTTCTGGAAAGAGGCATGTATAATTTAGTAAAAAAATAATGCAATTTAATTAAGAATTCTGTAAAAGCTTTTTTTCAACAGATCATGCACTTGTCAGAGTGATGTGAGTGAATATGAGAGATTGACTGTACAGGTCGCCATTTTTATCGTACAATGGGAAATGACGAAAACCTGAAAAAACAAAATAAATATTTTATTGGTGAATAATTATTAGCTATATATTTTATACCATATTATTTGTAACCCATCATTAGGTGTTATTTAAATTTAAAACCCAGTGGCATTGAACATAAATGCTGCAATATTTACATCATCGGTCAGAGGCTTACCAGATATGCTACCCGTAAATTTTTTAAAGGAAAAAAAAAAATTATTTTGAAATAAATGTGTAGTGAATAGTGTATTATTTAAAATAATAGCATACTTTTACTGTGGATATTACTGGCAGCATAAGGTTGAATTTAAACGATGTTGTTATGATTAAATGTTTAATGTTTAATTTACCATATCTATATCTATTATTTATTTTTAATTTAATACTTGGTGCATATTTTAAAAAAATGATTTACTTTATTTCACACATTAAGAATAATAGATTGAAATTTGGATGGTTCAAAAGCATACAAGTGTATAACTTGTGGTACTCTATAAATAATAATTCTTAATATGTTAAAATAATGTGTGAATTTAAACAATTCAAATTGTAATTCAACAAAAAGTCTAGTTGCTTTATTGTAATAGTAATATTTGAATGGATTTATGTAAAAACATCTTCCAGCCCTGGAGTGGGTAGTAAGGTCAGTTACAAGTGGTACTAGATTAAAAAAAAGAAGCCTCTATTATTTTTAAGTTATTAAAAGGTCATGACCGTATTAAACATATTGTGTTTGGAGGGCGCACCTTGTCATCGGTTATGCTGACTCCCTGGTCATTCTCCCACTGCATTCATTTATGACATTAGTTACTGATTATGACT